CAACGAGATGGAGGTAAACAAACCAAACAAGACATGGCGAGGGAAAAGAAAAGTGATGTTGACCCACTATGCATGCAGAATCACGAACCTCTGCTTCCACATTTTTATTTGTCATATTCCGCACATCGTCCCCTCATCTATGACGCTCGTACGCCTCGGCTTCCTTCTGGCGCGCTTCGACCAGCTCAATGACCTCTTGGCTGTAGAGGTCCTCAAGGCTCTTGTCTCCGAGGAGCACCTCCTTTTGGTGTCTGACGGCTTCCTCCTTGGTCAAGCAAACTAGGTCGCGAAGCTTCAGGTCGGCAGACTTTTGCTCATCTTTCCCTTCTCCGATCTGGACCAGGGTAGTCTTCTGAGGCTTCTTCCACCGTATCAGCATGAGCTTGGTCGGGATGCCAGTGACGGCACTCCTGCCTCGGAAGGCCTCTTCGACGAGGAAGGCAACGTCGCCCGGCGTAATGGGCACCTTGAGCCCGATGCAGACGTCGACCCGGCCGCCTTCAAACATGCGCACCACCTTCTCCTCACTAGCCTGAACGTACGCCAGGATGGCCTCGTACATCTTGTCGCGAGCCTTGGCCGGTTGGTAGTCCATCGGGTAACCTGTGATCTTGAGAATAACGTGGTTGGCCGCGACATATCCAAAGACAGCCGGCATGGTGCCCAGGACCGGCAAGATCCGCACCCGGAAGTCGGCGAGCACACCCAGGTCGCCCACCGACCCCTTCTGGAACTCCTCCTCAGCAAGCGGCAGCAGCGCCGCCTTGCCCTCGCCCATCTTCTCCGTCGAGTACACGACCGGAATCCCACTCGTAACTCCCTGCAGCTTCAGCCGCCTCCTCGTCGCCCTCGACAGCCCGTCCTCAAAGCTCGACCCAATATCCCCCACCATCACCCTCGTCGGATCGCTCTTCGTCCCCGCTCCCATCGCCGAAATCACCGGCAACCCCTCATCATAACAATACTTCAGCAACTCCACCTTACTCTCAATATTATCAATCGCATCGATCACAAAATCCGGCCTCTTCCCCACCCCCTCCTCCCCCTCCCACCCCTCCAACACCCCCGCCGCCACCCCCCTCTCAAACTTCTGCAACCTCAAATCAAACCTCACCCACGGCGCCACCGCCACCAGCCTCCTCTGCAAGCACTGCACCTTCGGCAGCCCGACATCCGCCAGCGTGGCCACCGCATGCCTGTTCAGACTACTCAACGTCACCTGATCAAAATCCACCAGCCTGATCCGCTGCACGCCCGAGCGCGCCAGCGCCGCGCACGCGTGCGAGCCCACCCCGCCGCACCCGACCACCACCACGAAGGCGCCGCGCAGTTTCTGGAGGCCGGCGTCGCTGAGGAAGACCCGGTTGCGCGCGAGCTGCTCGAGGATGAGTTCGTCGTCGAAGTCGCCGTTTTGGGCGCGGTGCGCGAGCGCTTGGTTGTGGAGGTCTTCGGGATCGGGTTGCGGGAGGGTGCCGATGCGGGTCACCTGTTAGTGGGGGGGGAGGGGTGGTTAGATGGTTGAATGGGTGGGATGGAGGAGAGGAGAAGCGGGGGGGTTATTGGGGTTGCGTACTGATTGGAGGGCTGGGTCGGCGTCGCCGGGCTGGGGGATGGATTGCTTCAGGCGGGAGACGCGGGTCGCCTTCTTGGAGGCGCTGGTAGGTGAGGATGGCGCCGGCGGCGACGGCGGCCGAGACGACGGCGGTGGCTGCCAGTTGCACCCTGGGGTTGGAGGTGAGGGAGGACATGGTGGTGGTGATGGGGTGGGTATGTTACTGTGAGCAATCGCAATATTTTTGGGAGATCAATGTCTCATTCTCCGGGATATATACATAGGTAGATATGTATGGTGGGGTTGAGATTAGGTTGGATCGAAAAATTATCCCAGATCTTGTCCAAAATGGTGGTTTCGTCATTCATCTGAACAGGGTATCTCTGCCGGGATCTCAGGGGCTATTCCTGATATAGTTAGCGTTGGTATCCCCGCCATCTCCACCCCAGAATCTCACTTGGCAGGCACGCAAGCCACGGCAGTCCTCGATTCCAGAAGGTATTCCATGTTCGTTAGTGTAAACTTAAGCCATGAACGGTGATTGCCGCCAACTTCCAAACTTGCCACATCAAGATCCCTTCCTTTTCGGCAATATTATTGATTAATTTTGACCAGGAGACATGGAATGCGGTCTACAATCCTTCATCCCCGCCTTTGAGGCTGCTATGAGCATTGCTGCCTGACTTGAACTTTCCTGCAACAACCAACATGACCTGACATGATCATGAATGTGGAAAGCTGATTTCACAGGATAAGTCAATTGAGTTTGAGATATTACAAAACCAACCAGTTTTCCAGGATGCTTTTATACCTTCATGTTCAAAGACTAGTTGCGGGTGTCGTTCCAACCAGGATCCCTGCCAAAAAAACGTCGTACTCGTCAACGTTGATAACTCGCATTCGGGTTCGCTGTTATTTACGCGTATTTCCAACCCCCAGGAACCTCGCATTCGAATCCGGGTTTGCGTAGTCCCACACTAACCATCACGACCTACCCTACCTATCTGACATACATTGTCAATGCATGTGGGGCCTCCCTACCATAGTAGCATCGACCCAAATGCTCTGGTTGGGTTTGGTCGGATTAGACGCTCGACCTAACTCCCCGGACATCTGACCTACCCCGCAATTCAGGGGACGCAAGATGTGGGACATGTTCGTGAACGAAGACCTCGAGGTGGTATAAGAAGGCCTCCTGTTCCTCCTTAGACCCTTCCTAGACTCCATATCTCGCAAGCCAACCAACAATTCGAACTCAGAAGGTGGTGCCCGCCCAAAAGACTACCATTAAACGACCTCGCTTCAACCACATCCAACAACAGGATGTCTTCAGCTCAGGGCAAGACTGTGATTGTCACCGGCGCCGCTGGCGGTCTCGGCAAAGCTATCGCAACCGCCTTCCTCGAAGCCGGTGCCAATGTTGTCATTTGTGATGTCCACACCGAGCGCCTCGCATCGGTCGAAGAGGAGTGGTCCAAGACACACGCCGACAAGTTCCTGACCCGGAAGACAGACGTCACAGACGAAGCCTCTGTGCAGGCCCTCGTCGACGATGCCGTTGCCAAGTTCGGCCGTCTCGACGTTCTCGTGAACTCGGCGGGCATCATGGACGGCTTTGAACCCGCCGGTGCTTGCTCCAAGGAGAAGTGGGACCGTGTGCTCAACGTCAACCTGAACGGACCCTTCCTCGGTACTAAGGCGGCCATTGCCCAGTTTGAGAAGCAGGAGCCCGGCTGCAGTGTCATCATCAACATCGGTTCCATTGCCAGCGTCCACGGCTTCAAGGCCGGCGCTGCTTACTCGGCCTCCAAGGCCGCCCTGATGTCGCTGACCAAGAACACGGCCGGGTATTATGGTGACAAGAGCATCTACAGCATCGGGCTGATGCTAGGCGGTAAGTCCACTCCAGAGTCCTCCCAAAGGGCCCCCGAGGCAGCACAAGAAATAGTGCTAACAATTTTATCCAGGAATGGACACCAACATCACGGACGCATTCGGCCAGGGGATGCACATGGAGGCTTTCCAAAAGGTTCAGGCCTCACAAGCCCCGTTCCGCCCGGAGATGCAGGTGCCCATCGCCTCGGTGGCCAAGTACTGTCTTTTCCTGACCGACAAGGACATTGCACCCTCGGCTAACGGGTCATGTATTATGTTTAACAAGAACTGGCCCGAGGCGTGAGACCGCAGCGAGATCGTGGGTGGCGAAGGCTGGGTGCCGATTTAGAGTAGGACGAGAAAGCATCGAGCAAACAATGCAACTAGATTATGAGCACAGCGTAGTACCCGACTGGACTTGCTTCCCGAGTCGGATTGTGAACCGGGCCAGATGATCACCATTTGTCACCAACTGTGCAACCAGTTCAGGACACCACATACTATTCGTCTCCAGAATACTATCGCGACTACAACTACATTGGATACCGGGGCAAGAGAGTGTCAAGAAGGAAACCAAGCCAAGAACCAAGCCCGCACAAGACAGATCCACCGAAGCCCTTCATCACTTGCTTGTCCATCAATCCAAAAAAGAACCCCAGCCATCTGCCTCTCATCCCTCCATCTCGACCCCATGGTGTTGTTGCGTACACAGAGCCCACAACCTAGTAGTTGGGGACGCAGTACGGGCTCTGGTTCTGCCAGTTCATCTGGCAGTGCTGGTTCCAGCCGCAGTAGCCGGCATACTATAACAATGAATGGACTTGGTCAGCATTCAACTCTCCACCATCACCAGCTCAACTCCACCGCAAGGGGGGGGGAAAACCACAAAGAAGAAGTATACTCACAACCCAATGACCCGAAGCGCCACAAACCCTCCACCCATTACCGGTTGTCGTGCACGAGTAGGCACCGGGGCGGCAGCCGGGCGGCGGCGGCGGCGGTGGAGGCGGGTACCAGTGGTTGGGCTGGGCGTTGGCGGCGTCGGCCTGGGGAGCCGCGGCAGCAGCAGCAGCCTGCTGGGCCTGCTCGCCGATGGCTATGGGGTCGGCGGCGGCGGGGGCGGCCGCGTTGGGCATCACGGCGGCGGTGGCGGCGGCGGCCAGGGCGAGGGGGGAGAGGAACTTCATGATGGTGGTTGGTGGGTTTTGGTGTTGTAAGTTGTTTGTTTTGAGTGTTTGTGTGGATGTGAAGATGTGTTGGAAGCGGATGGCGAAGCGGAAAAGGGGGGATGAGTTGGGTGATGGGGACGGTGGTTATATACCTTTCGCTGCCGTGATCAATGTCCGGTTGAATATTTGAAATTCCTCCTTACGTTCCATTGGACATGACTGGCATAACAGTATGATGGTGATCAGGGCTGCTGGAGAATGCTGGTAGTTGAATGTCTCGGATGCCCCTGGCCCCAATAACCACCCCTAGATAAGACACCATGTCTAGCAACATCCCTCAAGAGACAGTAACCCTCCCAAAAATGTCATCCAAGGCCATGGGAAAGAATGTACCAAGAAGGGCAGTCGGGCCTTTTCTATTAGCCGCTCTAAAATAAGAAAATAAATACTCAACTCGCTGAAGATTGTTATGCAGGGCAAGCCAATTTGGCACGATCTTTTCTGAGCATTCCCTAGGAATTGGAGCTGCAATTCAAATTCTCGTTTGTATTGCTAGATCCTTGGTATCCAGGGACTTCCCAGCGTAATCCTACCGCCCAGCCTCCAACAACTGCTTAGCCATATCCCTCAACTTGAACTTCTGAATCTTGCCGCTCGCCGTCTTGGGGTATTCCGTCACAAACCAAATATGCTTCGGCACCAGATGACTCGACAGATGGGTCCTCACCCACTCACGCACACTCTCCTTGGTCAACACCTCCCCCTTGCCGGCCGTCTCCGCCTCCTCATCCGTCACCACACCCTTATGCACAATGACAAACGCGCCCACACTCTCCCCATACTTCTCATCCGACACGCCAACCACACTAACCTCGGCTACCAACGGATGCTGGAAGAGACAGTTCTCAATCTCCAGCGGGTGGATGTTCTCCCCCCCGCGAATGATCAGGTCCTTGATGCGCCCCGTGATCTCCACATACCCGTCCTTGTCCATGCTGGCCTCGTCCCCGCTGTACATCCACACCTCCTCGACCCCCTCCTCATCCCTCTCCACCCGCCTTACCTCCTCCGTCCGCTCCTTATCCCCCCAATACCCCTTCATTACCAAATACCCGGCCGCCGCCAACTCCCCCTTCTCCCCAACAGGCACCACCCGCCCCCGATCCAACGGATCCACAATCTTGACCTTCGTATGCGGCATGACCCGCCCCACACTCCTCGTCCTCCGATCAAACGAGTCCCCCGGCGCGGTCATACAGCTCACCGGGCTGGTCTCCGTCATGCCATAGCAAATCACCAGATCCTGCAGCCCAAACGTGGCGTACAACCTCCGCATAATCGACTCGGGCACCGAACTCCCCGCCCCAATGCCCTTCCTCAAATGCCCCGGCAGCGCCGCCACCTGCTCCGCAGACAACACCCCCAAGTCCGGGTTCTGGTTCTGGTTCTGATTCTGCTGCAGCAGCTCAAACATAGCCACAAACATGGTCGCGACGCCGTAGAGGCCCGTGGCGCGGTGGGCGGCGGCCATGCGCAGGGCGGCGCGCGGGTCGAACGCCGGCGAGGGGAAGAGGAGGGCCGCGCCGGTCGTGGCGGTGGCCATGTAGCCCAGCACCGAGCCGAAGCAGTGGAAGAGCGGGGGCGGGCAGACGATCAGGTCGGAGGGGTCGAGCCCCATGCGGTGGGCAATGAGCGCGCCGTTGTTGAGGATGCTGGTGTGGGAGAGCATGGCCGCTTTGGGGTGGCTGGTGGTGCCGCTGGTGAATTGGATGTTGACTGGGCGGGTAGGTGTTAGAAGTTAAGGGAGACAAGCATAGCTAGAAGCTTTGATAGATGAGCCGGGCTGTTACTCACTTGTTTCGGTCGGAGACAATGGGGAGTCGGGGGTGACGGCGCGGGCAGCGAATGCGGCAGAGGATACGCGGGTGCTGGTGAGGCCCGGTATGAGGGAAGTAAAGGGGGTAAGCGAGCGGAGAGAGGCTAATGGCGGGAAGCCACTCAGTGGGTGGGAGATTGAGTTGTCGACGACTACGATTGTTTTGAGTGATGGGACCTCGGGTGATTCGATGCGCCCCGACTCGAGGTCCGGGGCGATGGTTTGTAGCAGCGGAAGGTTGCTCCGCCCACGGCAGGGCTTGTAGGCAAGGTCGGTGACGGCGCCGATAATGAGCAGCTCAACGCCTAAGTGATTGAGAGCGGCCGTGACCTGCTTGGCGTTGAACCCTGGGTTCAAGGGCACAAGGATAGCGCCGAGCTTGAAGATAGCGTAGGTAAGAGTGGCGAACTCGGCAGAGTTCCCCAAGCTCACGGCGACACGATCGCCCTTCTTCACCCCTAGTGAACGTAGAGAGTGGGCGAGCGCGTTCGATGCGAGGTCGAGCTTCTCGTAACTCAGCGTCGTTTCCACGGCCGGGGGAACGCCGTCCGCGGGTATGTTCGGGAGCGCATCGTGGCTTGTGGTTGGGGTGCGGGAGATGACGGCTGGTCTGTCGCCAAACCGTTTCACGATCGAGCTGAAGTGTTCGGGGATAGTATGAGGAAGCAAAGGGGGCTAGTTTCCATCAGCATCAACTGCCAGATACCATCGACTTAAACCGGTGCATTCCTTACCTCTGCTGGCCCTTCGTAGATACTCTTCGTCAAAGTGCTGATCGTCCTCACCGGCCCGATTGGGACCCGAATTCGTTTCCTCAGCGGTCTACCATGTATCCTCGAGGCGCAAAGAATTGTGGTCGTCGACGGCGTCTGAAGGCGCATGGTCACTGGCTGTTCCCGAGCTTTCGCTCTTTCTTCTTGTCGGCCACTCAATTCCCTTAGTTAAACACTTGAAACAAGGCACACGGTCGGGTTGTCGCCACAAAATCGTCGTAGAATTGCAGGCTACAAACAGAAACCCAAGCAAAAGAAGACAAGAGAAAACACATGTCGTTCACCCAGCGGGATCTCCCCCCATTGATCAACCCGCGATCAGCTTCCCCCAACCCCTCGTGTCACACAACGCGAACGCCGAGGCAAGCCTGAACAAGGAAGGTCCAGAGATTCGGCGTTCTTGGCAATTGGAGAGAATGCGGGGTGCAGCATTCCCCGCAGCAATGGCTTGGCAGGGACTCGACTTTGTTGGGGTTGACAGATGTTGACCGCCCCTATTCAAGCCTCGGGCAGGGGCTGATCAAGAGGTTATATTTTATCCATTTCGGCTTGAATTATGACTGTTGTACTCGCCGTGCATCCAACTTGCGACGGGAACCAAATACAACAAAACGGGTGATATCATCGGCCAGCCATCAATGTGGAGACACCTGGATCGATCCCACCGTTCCCCACGATCTTCAGCCGGAAGCAATCCGACAACCATCTCTCGAGATGCCGATGCACCTCTCCGGGGTGCTGATCTGGAGTCTTCTCAGACCCCTCACAGTCAACCACCCGGCGGCAGGTTTTGGTGATTCAACGGCAAAGCCGCTTGATTGTCTCCTCAACCCTCTAAAAGTCTACAGACAAACAAGAAAGTTGCTGAGACAAATGCGGTAAATCATGTCCATGAGCCACTCTGACCGCCCCCAAGAGCCCGCGTTGCCGGCCCGCAAAACGAAACACCTCAGGCCCATCGACAGCCGGCCGATTCACCCTAGCCCCAGTCGCGCCTCTCCCCACCCGGACCACCAGCCGGCCAACGTCAGGCTGGCCCTGCGTCACCGCAAAAGCAAAGATGCTATTACCCCCAATATCTATGCCGTACAAACACACCAAAAAAGGGCACGGAGCAAACCTCAGTTTTTCAGTACACTTTCTAACCCCCCCAAGCACAAGCTCCTCTGCCTTCCAGGGCCGTCTGGAAACAATGCCACTTTGCTACCACCATAAGAACGCCGAGCCATGCAGTTTTTGTTAAGATGAAATTAAAAGAGGATATCGGTCGTAGTCGAGTAAAAAGGAATGTCGTAACGATGGATAAACGATGTCGGCGGAGCACCCCGGTTACTCGCCGATGTGTCGCTCGCTTTCGGGTTTCCACGTGCCTGTTACATCCCCATGTTAGTTTCTGTACGTTCAGATAGAAAACGCAAAGGAGCCCATACCCTCGAAATCATGCTTCACAAACGCCATGGGGTCATCATAATCCTTAGCACCCATCTGCTGCACCCCCGGCGAGAAGCTGGTGATGGGCAAGACAATCACATCCCCGACCCGCCGCGAAGTCTCCATGCCCGTGAAATTCTTCCAATCGATCGGCCCCGTCGACTTGCTCATGTCAAAGAATCTCGCGTCGTTGAAGTACTCAAAAATGGTATCCGTCCAGAGGGCGGGGCCCGTGAACTCGATAACGCTCTTATTGTTGAGCTCCTTCAGCGACCCGTCCTTCTTGCGCTCCAGGGTGCGGTTCGTGATCTGGCGGACGACCTCGCGCAGGACCGGGTGGCCGGCCTTGGCCTGGATGGTCCACTGGCAGAATTGGATGCGGCGGGAATACCAGTCCTTCCAGTCCGGGCGGTCCGGGTCGGCCTCGATGCCGATGACCAGCCCGACCGTGTGGCGCGGCACGGCGTCGGGGATCCAGTCGACGGCGCTGCGGATGGCGAAGGTGTCGATGTCCGAGTAGATGCCGCCGCGGGCCAGCAGGATCAGGTAGCGGAAGAAGTCGGCCTTGAGCACGGGCAGCGGGAGCGCCTCGTACGCCTCGAGCACCTCAGGCACCGACGCGTACAGCAGCCGGATCAGGTGCACCGCCACCTGGTCCGTGATCACCTCGTGGATGAACCCCGGGTGCTGCTCCGTCCATGTCGCCTCCTGGTCGCGGAACTGGAACTCGCCGTGCGCGGGAGTCCACTTCCACGTCTGCCAGATGTATGCGGGGAACTTGGATTCGACGTCGTAGGGGAACTGGTAGGCTAGCTTGTCGTACAGCGTCATCTTGGACATGTCCTGTATCGGCTGCTGCCCCTCGGGGACCGGTCGGGGGCGGTTCACCCCGGCGTGGGGGATCTCATCGCTCGGGGGGGTCTTCGTCGTTTGCGAATTCTCCTTCGGATGGGAGCCGGCGTCGGATTGTGTTTTTGGGTACTCGACGGCTAGCGACGAGGCGGATGGCGATGTCGATCGTGTTGTGAAAAAGAGGATCGTGATGAAGATTGCCGCGGCCACAAGGGCGCGGCGGAAGCTGAGCATTGCGCCGAATTGCTCGCCGGCCACAGCTCAAGTCTATCAATTGCCCTGCGTTGAGGTATTTGAAGGCTTGACGTTTGCGCGCGGACGAACACAAGGCTGAATCGGGTGTCGCTCGTCTCAAGTTGGGATGGATGACGGCGGCGGATGCGAGAAAGGAATATCGCGGTGGCGGAGCAATCTGAGTAATAAGTAACTAGGAACCGCAGGGGAAAGACAAAAAAGCTGGCCGTGTCGCACAAAAAGTGTCGGGAAACGAAAAACAGGTGGTTGCAAACTCGATCCGTCGGCGAGTCCTGCGAATGCTGCCCCTTGCGAGCGCGACAGGGGGGGGGGGAAGCTTGCGAATTGCTGGGTGGAGAAGATTCGGATGGGCAGGGGTTCAAATGCGTGGACTGCCGTTGATCATACCTGGTTTTCAAGCCGGGCAATGACTTTGAGGCAAGTCCGACGACGAGGATCGGGAGCCAGGAATTTGTGATAACCAGGGATGGCGACCAGCGGGATGCCTCTCGCGACCTGCTAAATTCGGATTCTCGCCGAATTTCGCAGACCCGGTCAAGGTCTTTCTGTAAATGGGCGTGACTGTTGTGGCCTCAGTGGCTGCCCAACTAACTTCGGTTGGTCAAGATCGAGGGGCCACCGAGCACGCCTATTCTGCGGCCTCTCCTCCCCTTCTAGAACGATTTCAGGGTCGAGGTTCGGGTTGGGACGAAGATGCCAAGGGGGCGCGTGTTCGGTGGCCGAAGAATGTGGGGGACAATGGCATCCGAGACAAGAGAAAATTCTTGGCGGCGTCCAATGACGTTGGTTGGTCTGTGCAATGGCACCGACCGTTGACTTACAGGACGGTAAGCGAAGAAAGGCGGCGTGCTGTTATCTCGCAGGCATCATCTTCCTGAAAAATGACGGTGACTGGCTCGCGAAAGTGAGATGGGCATCGGTTTCCCCATGGCAAAAGATGCAGGAGCGCACCGGCGGATCTGCCGCGTTGAGGTTACACGTCATCCCACCAAGCGGGAGCCATGGATGCTCCCCGCCGTTTCCGAATGTTGCTGCACGCAAAGGACGTAAGCCCCCGGCAACTTCCAGCATCAACATCAACTCTTAAAACTCGGTCGTTTTCTTCTGAGAATACAGGCGCGCTGAGGAGAAGAGTGCCTGCAACGCATTCATCTCCTTCGGATTCGAGATTCCCGCGTTTTGAACAGCTTTGAAGCGCTCCGTGCCTTGCCCGACCTACCGCCCGCCCTCCATGTTTCCGCCCGCGTGGTTGCCATTTTCGGTCACATCTCGACGATCGACCCGGCGATCCACTTCCTTGTTGTGCGGATTGAAGGTGGGGTCCCCCAAACATGAAACGCGTGTTCCCCCTTGGCCCTTGCAGGCGCCCACACGCGGCCGAGGTCTGCCAAGCAGTCATAGCAAGAGCAGGAGCGAAGACAGTCTGTCAACCCCACCACTTCATCTGTGAACCATCATTTCAGCCGAATTGCAGGGCGAGTGAGGTAAATTATTATTATTATTTCCTACACCGATATGCCCTGGGGCGCGCCGGTCCTTCTACTGCTATTTACAAAGGAAACCGTGCCGTATAGGCCGGATAAAAACCTCTGTCTACCACTTTGAGACAACAATCTATGAATCCGTCATACTGCAAAAGAAAGGAGGCCCTTTGCCGGCCTCCGGGCCCTCTAGCCCTCCCCATCCACTGTTTCTAGCTCCAGCCTTCTGGCCAGCCTATACTCCAGTAGCCGGCCAGAGTCCATCAGCCAGCCAAGGACCTTCCTAACAAATCTTCTGCTCCGGGCACCTACTCCCCCGTAATACGGTTTGTAGGTCCCGATGTGACCGAATCTCTCTGCCGTCCCACGGCCTTTGTAACGGCGGGTCGGGGCACCAAACCACCAAGTGCTCCACTGTCTCCCTGCCCCTCCCGCACTCGCAATAGGGGGTACGGACCTCCGGGACTTTCACCCTGAACAGGTAGTCCCGGAGGCCTATATCCCCGATACGGGCCTGGGAAAGGAGGGAGCTCTGCGCCTTTGTAAGACCTTCGTGTCTCATCAGAGCTTTGTCGGTAAATAAGAGGGCTGGGGGGTCTTCGTCGGCTATCCTCCTGTTTAATACCCTCTGTCGAGTAGTACTTTGTTGACTAGCTCTCTGTTGTTCCCACCGGGCCTGCCAGGCCAGTTCGACCACCTCCTTGGTATTCGACCCCCTATCCTTCCCCCCGATCTTCCATTTGTAGTTAACCCACTGGGCCACTACACTAGCGGCTAGTTCAGTGGGCGTGGGACTCTGCGGGCCCTGACGGGGCCTCCGGCCTCGGGTTTTCCTCCTCTTGTTGAACCTTCGGTAGACCTTATTGCAGGCCTCAGTAATTAGATGCCCCGTGGTTATTCTCTCAGCCTCGAGTGAGGTAAATTGTTGATCATTTCCGTCACTAATGAAGAGTTAACTGACTTCCACAATCCCCCTGATCGTCTTCTTATCTTTGCACAGGAGGAAGCGAGGTGTATACCAAGGCCCGAGTCACCCACATTTGGACCTGGCCGGCACCTGGCACCACACCTCGGCCAACTTCTCAAGTTCTCTGTTGGCCTCTAGCCAAAACCCAATCGCCAACAATCCGACCCGGACTTTTTCTCCGGTCACTGGACTTCCGCTTTGCTCAACCCTGCTCCGTTGGGCACAGGGCGGGTGCTTGCATGCAGGTATGTACGAATACCGAGGTGCCGTTATCACCAAACGATCCGAAGTAAGAGGTAATGAAGGTATTCTGTCCATGCCGGTATGTATTTTGCTCTGTACATACATACCGGTCATGTGCCTATGTATGTAGAGCATACACTTTGTAAGTTGGGAATGCGTCCGGGCTCTACCGTCAACCCCGAGTGGCGATAGTTAACCCGGGAGATCATCCTTTGCATCATTGAATCCTTAAAATAGGTAGGGACCTACGTAGTTACTTGCGGCCCGGGACAAGCAAGGAGCCTCACTGCTCGTGAGACTGCCTCTCGTCTTCGACAGGGTAAGGTAAAACATACAGGACAATGTACCCCATGTCCTAGGCTCCTTTGACGCAGGAACACCGCAGCCCAGTTCTTCAGTCCGTGAATGTCCTCGAAAAATGCAGGATTCCCGTACTTTAGCCAATTGGAAGATGTATTCTGTTCCTTCTCACTGATACCCCACTTATACCCGTCTTGTCCCTGAATCATACAACGGCCGTTGTCCTGATCGGCGCGTTCGTCCGCTGCTAGGTAGAGTCTCGCCAACTTGGTCGTCTTCTGTTTAGAGACAGAAGTTGTCCCATCTGGACCATGTGCTGGAAACTTTCTGTGCTTGAACAAGTCTTGCTGTAGATATTTCTTCTCCCTCCTTCTTCTAGGGGAGAATCTTGCGGGCTTTTCTCGGAAGGTTGGGTGATCAAAGTCATGAACATCCAAGTACAACTCGAGTCGTACATACGTGGGTTGATAGGTCGGAGTGCAGTGGCATTCGTGGTCGGGCACATCTGCCTGACGGCTACCTACACGTCATGCAAAGGAGGAGATACAACCGCCCGGTCGTGGCACCAGTTGACCTCACCGGTCTAGCCTTTTCTCCTTTGCCCAACTTATGAACAACACTGAACGACGAGAGAATAAACTTGCGTGGGAAGGTTCAACGACGTCAGTGGTTGCCTGATTGCATCATGGGCTATCAGTCCTCCCGGGGGCTGACACATGTGCGCGAGGGCTTTCGGCTGAGCGATCCCAAAGCTGCACTATCCGCCACAGCCTTGCGCAGTTGTCAAGGCAAAATACACCTTGAAGTTTCTAGGCGCAACAGCTGAATGCAGCGTCGCGTTGTTGGTGCCCGGTTTTGCATGTTGCCTCGTTTCGGGCAAACACCATTGGTTCGATTCACGGGCGGGAACCGCCCAACCTTTTGGCGATAATACTACCAGATATGTGCGGGACCGGTGACTCCCGGACCGTTTAGGTCGTTACATAGGTACCTTGTTAGAGAGAGGCTGGGGGTTGAAGCGCGCATGCCGCAGCAGGGCGGTTAACAAACTCAAAACTGAACGCGGGCCTCCGTCAACCGCTTGACTCAGGCAAAGGGAAGGCCTCAAGGCATCAAATGTAGGCAGCCGGGGCAAACGCAAAAAGACCGCATCGCCCACTGTGCCGAAACATGCCACACCGAAGAACGAATCAGCAGAATAACGTGCCACCATTGATTGCAATATCACCACCCAACATCCGTTCTCTGCGGTTGCCTCTCAAGGCTGGCTCGGCTGGCCAACACCAAATGATGCCTGCATTTTGAGACACGAACGCCAACGCCCCGATCATCACCCGATCGTGGCTGCTTACCTTATTGGAAGTCAGGAACAGGAAAAAAAGAATGCTTGAAGGCAGCAAACCTCGGACGAGGCAACCACTCGATGCATGTCCTGATTGGCCAGGCCACCCAGCGACGTCATGCAGAATTGGAGAAATGTGACCTGTATCGCCTTTTGTGTGGCGGCGAGAGTCAGGTTTGTCTTTGACTTGAAGGCAACTAACTCTGTTTAAGTTCCCCCTCCTAGGTACGATGGAGGGCCCTGCCAGCCCAAGCACGCCGACGGACAATGCAGAAAGATACCGCGTAACCTGATTCTCTGTGCTTGCGTCCTGGCCAGGCCTGGGCACCGTTGTATCGTGTCTGTCGCTGTACTTGGTGGGTTGGACGACAGGCCAGATATCGAGGAACTGTAATTTTCGGGGCTTCCATGCCCAAATGTTGCTTCTCCCTCCGGAATCCCTCAGCCGCTGCAGCCCGCCCCCGATCGTTGCCCTGCCGGGATTAAGTCCGTGTGTGCATCCCTTCTCGACTTGCATGGAGCTGCATGGGGAGCATGCAGGTTTTGAATCGAGGCTTACTCGTCAAACGGATAGGGCTCTTCTCATCCCCGGATATGCCTAACTGGACTCGTCGATGCAAAGCTCCGTCTCGTCTGCAGGATGCACTGGACGAAGTACCGAAGCATCGGGCCGGCCCCACACTCTCCGGGAATCCCCACCCAACGGCCTGGCGGGGGCTTGGCGCCGGCAGGCATTCCCCACCCTCCCGGGGCCGAGGAGGTTGCTCGTTGGAGAGATAGGTAGCTGGGGATGAGTAGTTTGATACCAAGTCGGGTAGCCTTTTTTGCGATGGGTAAAATGTGGATCGAGAGCCTAGTTGTTGGAGCAGAACCTCTGAATTGCCTTCACTGATAGCGCGGTTGCTTGGCGGGACAAGTGTTAGATAGAGGGGAATTACTCGCCTTTGGAAATAATGGTTGGGCCTGTTTCTCAAGGCAGAAATGGGCCCCCGCCAGGAACTACCAGTGAGCTGAATGGTCCTCACCCAGGAGACCCAATCGTCGGGTATCGATACCTGGGGTGGGTGGAGCCAGGGGCTCGGTGAGTTTGCGGTTGCCGCGGTTACGGCGATCTTGTCTTTGTTTTACCCCTGAATGCTCGATTTCCACCCAGTCGAACCGGAACTTCGATATTGAATTGCCCACACCCACCCTATGCACGAGCGGGTGACGTTGGGTGCGGACGTATAGAGCATGTCAGCGTCAACTGTTGTAGGAACCCGTTAAGACCGCGGAAAGCGCGGGATCCCGCCAAGCGGATTTGACGCAGGTAGCATTTTGGGTCGTAGTGCCGAAGTTGCCGTGATATCTAAGCAGGCCCGTCTTTGGGTTGATGACGCTTTGGACACGACATCGCTTGCGTCAGAGAGGTGTGGGGGGTTGAAATGTGAGTGGATAGTGATGGACGGGAACGACGGGATGAGAATAAAACAAGTAGACACCTTCGGGACCGGTGGGGGAGTTGTTTCAAATAGGAGTCCCTCCCGGTTTGGTTTCTCTTTTGTCGTGGAAGTAGAAAAGGCACTGGCATGTTTGATATGCTGTACTTGACAGTGGCGAAGTTGCTCTGGCATCTTGCTTCTGGACTCGGCGCATAAAGAAAACAGACATCAAGGCTACATGCACCTTCACCTTGTTGCGCGACACTTATCGGAGGCCAATACTAGTTCTGGCAATAAAGAAGCAATTATTGATAAACTTGCCGTCTCCCAATCTGTTACAAGTTTCTCAACTGAATACAGGAAAAGAGGGGAAAAGGGAAAGGGGCGACTTGAAGGGGGTGGGGGTGGGGGTGGGGGTGGGGAGTGCTAGTCCGTGACAAGTAAGAGTAACCCGATACCCTGAAGCAAAACTTGATACTGAAGCATTGGACCTCAGCTGAGATCTAAATGGTGGCCAAATGGCCAAGGCCAACTTGGCCCGACTGGCCACTTTAGTGGCGATAAAAAGAGGAGAGCCAGGAGGCCGCTCCGGCTCGAGAATACCCCTGAGCCGTGGACTTCCCCTGACCATTCTCAAAACCATCGGGTTCTGGGTAGGGTTCCTCGACGGTGCAGTCATCCCATCCTTCCTCTTCTTGTGTTTTGTCTGCCCCAGCCAATTCGACGGTTTTGCTGCGACGTCGATATTTTTCCGGTCGGCTGTTCGGTTCGGGGGCTGTCTAGATCTTCAATGTCGAGAGCCTGAGCGTACGGATTAAGGGGGTTGGGACTCCATCCCGAGACAGGAAATATCGAAATAACCCGCCATAGTATTTGTGGGTCTTCGCTCTCCATGGCGCCCTTGAGACATCAAGTAACCTCCTTGGGGTCTGCCTCCCGAGGACTGGAACGACATCAGCGTTGTTGTTATGACTCCTTTTCTTTCTTCTCTCTTTCGCCGCTTTGTCGGTCTGTTTCTCTTCGGCGAATGTTGGGCGTTGCGATCTGTGAACAAATTATGGTTATTGGTAAGTTATTCCCCAGCTTGGGATGAGAACGATGCTCACCGAGAAGGAAACACCAAGGTCGAGGCCGCCAAGTCGTTGCCATCGTCTTGATCGCCATCATTCATGGGCTCAGGGCTTGCCGTCGTGTAGCACCACCCTTTTCCCAAGTAAGATGGCGAATGATTTTGGTGGTTCAAGTCTGTTTGCGGAATGCTAACCTCCGGTGGCGATGATGGGAGGGAGGAATCCAGAGAGAAGGGGGCGGGTTGTGGAACGGGGGATGGATGACACTGATCCGAATACAGCAAAGAGTCCGATGGACCTGTGGATCCGATGGTCGATGATTGTCGAGCGGGCGTCGATGGATGGGTCAGGCTGAGGTACGACGCTGAGCTACGCGATGGATCGGAACGGTACCGTTTGGGCCTCAAGCTGTCGTAAGCACCGGATCGATGTCTTTTATCGGCCATGATGAAGGGGGCTGCTGCCATCTGCGGAGTTTAACGAACTTTTCCAAAGAGTATGGCGGCTGCTATCCAACACAGCATCTCGAGCGCCGTTGGGGGGAATAAAAGGGGGAGTCGGATGAAACGGGCGACTCGTTTGGAAAAAGGCAACCGACAAGAGAACGAGGCGACCGGGGATGGAAGCGGTCAGTTTGGCATTGAGCCATTGTAAACTTCTTGCAACATCGGCTAGTGGTCGCGCCAGGTCCGGGTGCTGGGCGACTCCAGGGGGACGGGACCAAACGGATGATGTCTTCACACGAGTCAGTCCAGGATCCCGGCCGGGACCTCCGCTATCGATGTGCACTGCCCCCCAAAGCCTTTACCGCTTCGCCATGTGTCAACGCCCATCTCCGGCCGAATCAAGAGAGAGTGTACTCTTCCATGAACATTTACTGGGTTGGGCTTCGAGTCGGAAGGCGGACAGCGGGATAAAGCATCGCATTGTTCGGTTGCCTAGGGGTTGAAGGCAATGAATGGGGCGCATGTTGGTTCGCAAGGGAATCCCTAGGCCTAGGAATGCCGGTCCGGGACCGGAGAGAGCATCTGGTGGTTGAGGGAGAGATGAAAGGAAGGATGCCGGAGCCGTGGATTCGAGGGAGCTGCTCCAGATAACTGAAGAAGAGACAATTCAGCGGAATAACAAGAGCCTGTTATTACCAGCCACCGGGACCGATTTAGAAACACACGGTTGCGCCCCTCAATAAATACCCTCTGTTGACGCCCTCTGCAGGTTGTGCCGTGATCACACATTCTTTTAGGCTGGCTGCTGCAGGACTGGGCCTGCAAACCTGCAACCCAACCCTCCATTGTACGTAGTATGCTAGAGGGTGTTGCCATGGCGAGATGGTGTCGAGGTTACCTATAAATCGGCCAAACAACGGCTGGAAATATTTGTTTCGTTTCACTGATCACCCCCAATTTGATGCAGCCTCCTAGAAACAAGCCTTTGATCAGATTGCACATGCTTAGTTGACCCGCTTTCGGTCCACCCTTAATTGAGAATGAATGTTTCTTGAAGCGCCAGGCTTCGCGCCATCTATGTTTTGTCTGCGGCCTGGAGTGGAAGGGGGAGGGGCCTGAGGCAGGCTGGTTTGGTTTGTCACGGCCTGAGGGGGTGGTGGATGATCGATCCACTGGCGGGTCCCGTCTCTCAAGTATGGGCACCCTCCCCGAACCACTTCGTTTTACTTTTCCTACTGGATCCTCCCTTTGCTTCCAAATTCTCAGAAGCAACGATCGTTCCAGCAGCGCTTAGCCCAGAGGTTGGTTTACCTGACTGAGACTCAACTTGAGCATCTCCGGGCGCGCCATCTTCCGTCCTCCACATATCCCTCCACAGGTTTCCATCCATACCCTCCAAAAACTACCGCGGACGCACTTGTTCAGTTATTAATGTAAGCCTCTTTTCGGCCTAGGTGGTATTTAGACTGCCTGCAAGCGATTACGAAAGCGTATGCGCGCATATTGCCGATGGGTTTCGTCGAGCATCACCCGCATTTACCACCCACCTCGAGAAACCGGCGAACTTGGCACATCAATGTCGGCCCCGACATTTCCGCATGCTAGCCGTGGCCGTTTGGCCGGCCGTGTCTTAGTTCGGCGGCTACCCCGCTACATGGCGTTTAGCCACCGCCCCGTCAACCGTCGTCAACGGGTCTGGGTCGTGGTCTACGGGTGCTACAAAGTCATTTCAACCAAGGCGACGACATTGAGTCGCCTTATAACCGACATTGAATGATGGAGTTAGGCGTTTATTCCCCACTGCAAGAAAAAGGGTGGATGGTTTATTGACTTCCGGGTCGTTGATCGGCGCTCTTCGCGCCGTTGCACCCCGACCTGGCCTCCGGCTGCATGGGTGACGCCACCCCCAGCCTTTCCCAAGTTAACCGTGTTTCTTTAACGGGCCAACTTGAACTCCTGCATCCTCAAGAACCCAAAGGGGTATAATAAGGGAGGGAGGGCGGCGCTAAGTTGAGAACAAAACCTGTTGCTCACCTGTGCTTTTTTGTGGCCAGCCACTTGACAAGTTCCCGCACCTGCTTCCTCTGGTGAGACGGCTGGCCAGCGCTTGGCACCGTCATTAGCCCCCTACAATGGTATGTATCCCCTCCAACAACGCCTCTCAGTGGCGCTCGTTTTCCTGCTGTTTTGAGCTCTGGGCCCTTACTAACGTTTTATGGTTTGTGGCAGAACAACCTCCGCTTTTTTTGATCGTCTCTCCTTGCCCCTTGCAGCATCGTTGGCGATCTCGACCCACCAACACGACGTCCTCCGGAGTCGTTCGTCCTCCTCAGGCCGATGTTGTTGGCCGAAAATCCCTAGAACTTGCCCGGCGTAGCTTTGAGTGGCGAGGCATTTCCGCTATTAGGTTCCACTGGCGGCAAAGTTATGGGTCTGGGACCAAGAGAGCACATGGGGCCCATTGATGTTATCGGCGGTGGCATGCCCCTACACCGCCTTGGGGGTTGAAATAAGCTCTGCGACGGTGTGCTGGAGATCAAACCCTCAGCGGCTCGGCCCGTATGGAGTGCTGTCGTCATCCACGAGATTCACCGCTGCATGATCCCAGCTCTGTTGGGTGATTGGAAGCGTGAAAATCCGGTGGGCTGATGCCCTCGGCTTTGACCGGGTTATCCTGACCGGTCGTGCCCAGAACATGTCAGGGCACGCAGTTCAACCATTTGCCAACGGGCTCAGGGCAAAGCCAGAACCTGGATGGATGCCTGGGTTACAAGGATGGCCAAGGAGGCGTGGGATTTCGAACGAACGGTTCCACCCCCAGTCCGGGACATTGGGCTTACGGAAGATCCTTCAAGCAACGACGCGGTGGGAGGGAACTTGTAGCTTCGGGCTAGCTGTTTCCACAATCAACCCGGTCTTGCCATCAGATTGAGGCAAACGGCCGCCTCAAGTGTCATTCGGCAGGGGGGTGAACGACGGCAAGCCCATGGTCTCGGTGCTGGGGAGTGGATTGAGTGGATTGGTGGTACTGGCACAAACATTTGCGTCGGGACCGCGGGAAGCAGCAGACCCCCCACCGGTATGAAGGGAAACAGCATCTTCTCGTGCCACGGATCCTGGTGTGAGGCATCCCATTGTTGTTGATTGGTTACCACGAAGATCAGGTCATCGTGTTAGGCTCGTATTGACAGCGAGCCTAATAAGCAAGTCATCATGCATTGCCAGGCGGGACGGTAATAGTTGTGGTGTACTATAGATGTGCATTCGTCAACGGAAGGAGCTCGTTGGGAGCTCGCTTGACTTCGGGAGATCGTGCTCCGAATGCTTTTTGCGCCGGTCGCTTTTAAATGGGGAAAGCCACCCACTGTAAAACCCGCCGCTCCCCCTGAAGCTCCTAAAAATTTGACACCTTCGATTCCCCCATCCTCACCCAACGAATGAATTGACATCAGTGGACAACCCCGCGCGAATTCGGAACCCAAAACATCTCCCGAATTTTGGCCGTCTCCAATTGAGGGCACACATAAACCACACACCCGACGTCATCTGTGTTGAAGCCGACATGAATGGCATATTGGATCGCGATAGCCACTTGACGCCAAAGAGCCGAGGCCCAAGCGACGACCGGGGGCAGCACCCTTGGCTCATGCTAATCTCAATTGAAAACAACCAAAATGAAATGATGATAACTACCTATTAAGCCATGCCATCTACCCATGTGCTACACAAATTGATAACTCAAGAACCTCTACTTACTTATCATCATAGATGACCAACCCCGATCAATCTCAAAATCATTTTCCAACTTCTCCTGGCACCAGACGACCCCAGCGACGACGACAAGCCGAAACTTGGTTCCAGTTGTAGCAGCCGCCCTGATGCCCCGACTCGAAAGGAAGACCTCTCCCTCCTCGCCCGTCCTTTCTACCCCTTACCCATCCTTTCTACTCCTTGCCCGCCGGCGCCTGTCCGCCGCCGCAGGTCGCGGCGTCCTTCTTAGCGCCGGCGGGCTTCTCCTGGCTGTCCCGAGGCGGTCCCTCAGGTGCCGGGACGGCGAGCTCGCCCGCCACGCCCGGCGTGCCCGGTGGATACGACGACAAACCTAGGCCGATGGGCGCGCCGCCCTGGCTGTCGAGCAACACCGTGATGCGGTCCTTCCAAGTGGGGGTGTGCCCGGGCCCGGTGGCCGGTGGCGGTGAGGGGGTCAGGCGGCTGTTTTGCTCGTCAGTTCTTTGTGTCTGCCTGTGGGTTTTCTTTGGTCCCCTGGTTGGGTATGGGTGTGTTGTCTTGCTTACATTTCACGTTGGGGCGGCGAGTCCAAGACCTGAATGTGCGGGCCCGGGGGGCTCGGCGCGCCGCTGGCAAGGTCCGCGAGCATGTTGCCGACTTCGATGCCGGGGTGGTCGCTGTCCTTCCATCCGGACACAGGCTCGGCGGTCTCGGGGGTTTGGGGCAGCGAGATGCTGTTGGGGTACTGGTCCGTCTGCTGGGTTGCCGGCTGGTGCTGCTCTAGCGGGCTGGGCTGACCGGCCTTGTTGCCTGATCCGTGGTTGGCTTCGGCAGTCATTGTCGGTAACGCAATGGTTTCTGAAGGAGTGTTTATGCTTGATACGGTAACCAAGTTGGTTACTGTGTAGAACAAAGTCGAGGAGCTGGGATGCACCCGGCAACGCAATGGGTTTCCGAAGGAGTGTTTATTTTCGATGCGGCAACCAAGTTGGTTACCGTGTAGAGCAAAGTCGAGTAGCTGGGATGAAGTCGGCGACGCAATGTGTTGTTGAAGGAGCGTTTATGGTTGATGCGGTAACCAAATTGGTTACCGTGTGCAGAGCAAAGTCGGGCAACTGGGATAAAAATTATGTTGTGGGAAAAGGAGTGTTGAAGGAAGGAGATGGAAAGAAACCGATCGACGGGGGTTCTCTACCTTGCTATTGAAAACGCTGAAGTGGAGTCATCAGTCCAAGCATCTTGTGTGCCACAGCAGATCTGCTGTCATGCCATCTCGACGGGATTACATGGGTTCTCAGGACCCACGGATCGGGGGATTCCTGGCGGGACACATGCCGTTGGACGACAGCGCCAACTCGGGAGGCGAAGGGCGGTCAGGCGATGAACGGAGGCATTGCCCCTGGAAACTGCACACTGCCCTACGATGTGACGGTTCCGACTGTCGTGTCCCGCATATTTCCGCACATTTTGTCTTGACCTTCGGCTAATAATAGTCGGAAGGACGAAAGAAAAAAGCACCCCCGTCGCCCAAGGACCGGAAAACGCTGTCTACGATGACTCTTAGGATCCGTTGACAACCTGGAGGTTTTGGGCGGATCATTGGCATCGAGATCTGGGCCTGGGCTTGGTAAGGGGGACAGGGGGGCAGGGGGGGCAGGGGGAATGCCGTATTCCAGATCCAAGTGCTATCCGGTACCAAAGATAAGGCCGATCGCCTACTGTGGGAGTACGGCACTGCATGCTGAGGAACCTTGAGCAGCCCGTTCAGTCGGGACAGGCGCCATGTGGCAGCCATATACGAAGTCAAGCTTTGGGGCCTTCTCATTCCAGAAACCGCGGAGCAACGCCCTCTTGGGAGATCTCTTGCGTCACTGGTTGGAACTGAACATTGCGCCGCAAAAAACGCTCGGGAAAAGCACCGCAGTCGGAGAGGGATCAGGGGTGCCCTGAGACGGGTGCGAAAGGGACAAACTCACACGGATCAGCCTGCGGCGCCTCAGTTCCAGCGTCGATTCTCCTTTTCGTGGAGCGCAGATCCGGCAGAGACGGCTGCGAAGCCCGCTGCCATTGCTTACGATCAGCCTTCCGCTTTTCTGACCAATCGTTATTTGGCTGGCACCCCAACGGAAGACGACTTCGTGTCGAGGAGAAGCCTTGACGTTTGTTTGGGTCGACATTCGGGGAGCACGGCCTGAGGAGAGGACTACCGAGAGGCAGCAAGGACTGCCAGTCTGGTTCGCGGGACACATATACGTCCACAAAGGAGGAAGGATCAGCATCCACTATTAATCTTAACGGTAGTGCCTTCCACGCCAGAAATGGGTTTGGCTTTTGCTATTCGTCCGGGGTTGTGGCCGCCCATGAGGTCCTGATCCTGGGTCGTGCAGGAAGGCAGGATAAGGCAAGATGAAACGGCCCCCCCGTGGCTGTTTTTGTCCTGGTCAGCTGGCACCAGGGAGTGGCTGGCGCCAAAAAGGCGATGGGCGTTTCCCTTCCCGCCCAACCCATGCACCCGCCGTTCAGGCGATTATGCACTGCTATTGAGTGGCGGAATGATCACACAAGCTTCTAGAAACCCTAGCGTTGATCACCAGCCTCGCTCGACTCTAGACAGTGACATTTTATTTGGGGTGCTAGTCTATGTGTAAAATGTGCGAATCAAGCTACTGTGTAGGTACGAACCAAAGTCTCCTTTTACCCTGCAGGCTGGCAGATGGTGTTGCGGGCGGGGTGGCTACCAACGTACATGCGTTGATGCGAACTCTAGGGGTCACAAGATCTAGTTCATGCGGACTTCCTCCTTTCTCTCCTCATTCTGCCACCCCGTTTAGTTCGGGGTGCGTAGGGCGAGGGAATAATGAGGCTCAACCAGACCGCTCTCGGTTTCCTGGACGGGGCGATGCTGCAATCAACCGTGAAATTAGATTACTCCCACGTCAGCTTTGCGGCTGGACGAGTTTTCAACAAGGGCGGCCCAGGAGTGGTTCCTTATTCGGGTGGGGGTGGGACGGGAAGTCGCAGCTGCCGCCGGCGCTTGACCCGCCCTTGACAGAAGAGCGCCTGCCCCGAAGCCAGAGTGGGCAGATTTTGTGTCTGAAAAGAATGCAGCGGGCAGGTAGTTCCTTCAATGGAGGAGACTCCGTCTCATGTTAGAAAGCTCGAATCGGCAATGAACCTCCCTCTTTGTTGCACGAGGACCGCCACATCGAGGAGCCGAGCCAATACTCGGTTGCTCAGCAATGCCACGTCGATGACTGCACCGAATCGAAAAATGATTGGCCTAGGGTGGTCGATTTGAGTTTGAATCAATCTCGGATTGCAAACCGCCCTCTGAGCGCCGGCACAGGTGTTGAATTTACAAATCCCCAGAAAGGTTGACTTTACGGGATCTCCGACATGGTAAAAAGTCAAAGGGCTTGACAGAACCGCATACTTGGTACATGGCGCGATGCAACCTAGGAAACGAACCAACCGCTGAATGAATTTGCTTCCTTGCCACTGCATTGGGGACGCGGGTACGAGGGCTCTCCCATTGCCGCACATTGCAGATTGACAGACGCGAGATCCTGAGATGGGCATCGGTGCGTGGCAGTTCTTCTGGAAGGAATCCCAGCTTGCCCTTTTTCGTCTATTTTGCCCTCCCAACCCCCTCCTCCCCGCACAAGAACATTTTATGATCTTCAGGGCGTCCGGCTAACTACGTGTAACCGCTAGTTGGACAGCTTCTCGATTGAGCTGTGGCAGCACCAACCCGCGCGGCACTCATCCGTTCCACCAAACATGGGTCCCTCCCCCGATCACACTCTCTCGCCGCCTGCATATCTTCCAGAATCCCCGCGACATTGCACAACAAAAGTTCTGCAGAGAAAAGGGGGGATGTCTCACATGACAGGAAATATGTCACGGGGTTCTGGTGAATTTGCAGGCGAAAAAGTCGGCAAAGCGAGGGCTGATTTGGCCCACAAGGCATCCTTCATCCAGGTTGTTCGTCGCCGCGTGCATTTGGTGAAATGTGCGGGTGGGGGTGGGTGTGGCGGCGTGTCGCCCAGAGCACAGTGCTGCCGTTCTGCCCTTCCCCTTTCGTTCGCTTCTTCCTCAGAGTCCCCTCCTGCGCCAAGCGGGCACACCACAAGTTTCGGGTTTGGGACAGCATGCCCTCCGCCCAAGCTCTGAGGTCTCGTTTCCCTAGGTGCGTCTCGCCCAAACACTGGACCTTTTCTGGCAAGTGTACCCGGTGGATGAGGGGAGTGCGGTGGGAGGGTGGACGGTTGAACGGTTGGACCGTGGACGGCTGGAGGTTTGTTTTCTCGACCATGCCGTCAGAGCGGGGGTTCAGCCCTCACTTCCACCAACGCATCATCAATTCGCGATATGGCCCGAGAGCGCGCCGGGTTGGAAAATGGGACTCGAGGTTGGGTCTTCCCTGTCATTATCCGTGCTACCCCTGTCTCGAACATCCTTGGACAGGTTCAGGTTCAGGGCTGCTCACAGCCAGAGAACAATAGGGCGAACGCTGCACCCGAATTGTGATAATGAGTTTTGCCACTCGCTTCGTCCATGAGAATAACGGGTCAACACACAATAAAAACACACACAGTCAAGGTGGCACCTCTCGCCCAATCCTCCTAGGAGCTCATCTACCTGGCTGCCCCCCACCGGGCTAGTCTAGGCTCGCGTCTTGATTGTTACGCGCCATTCTCTTTGGGGTATATGCCACAATATCGCAAAACACAGGTGGCATAGACCGAGCCCAGCGCGGTTAGGGACGGGTCCATTGTCGGAGAAGGTTGGGATACTGCGCCAGCCCACAACAGATTACCCCAGGCTAGTTCTGCGGCGTTGCGAGGACAGCGTAAGCTCCCGCGGAGTGGGTAGTCAAACTCGCCAACCCGAGAACTCGTGCCCTTGCACGGGCATGCGGTATGTTGTACAACAGTTCGTTTAATTTCCCCCATCGGTATCCACTCGATTCTGCCTCCTGTCAAAGTCCCCTCCCCGAACAGGAAACGGTTCCCGAACCGCCTCCCGCACGGTTGGTAGGTAAGCGGTTAGCGGTGAGGAGCGACATCTAATGAGTGGTTTCGCACGTCACGTCACTAGCTTGTTCGCCCAGGAGACCCAGGGGACAGTCGAGTGAGATGTTTGAGTTCTCTTAGATCATTGCGAGCTGGACCACCGATGATGCAGGAGAGTGGGTCTGCCACCAAGGAGACGTGCTCGGGGACTTGCTCGGCCTGGGAAGGGGAGGGACCGCGTTGACACCGGATGGGGCCCCCACGGGGCGAACCGAAATGTGCCGGTTATATGACAGACGGGCCACCGGGTGGCGATGTTGGGTTCCGTGCGTGTTGGCTTATTCCACTTGACGAGTGACTCAACAAATGATAAAAAAGACCCGTTCACCCCGATGTCCTCTAACAATACCGCTTACTGATGGTTCACTTCTTGTCATCAACCGACTTTCGCTGCACTCCGAGCCAACTTCCTCGGAAGAAACAGCATCAAACGTATAAATAGCAAGCACAAGCACACGATTTTGTGGAGCCAAACTTTTCCATTTCAACTCTGCCACCGCATATATCTCAACTACAGACGCATCTACTCCTCGCCCCATACATTCCTAACATCCATCCCCGTCATCTCAGCATAAGAGACACCCGCCCTCCACCTTCATTCTTCACCATCCACGCACAACTCCAATGCCATCCCCCTCCGAGTTCTCGTCCCAGGCCCGCCGCCGCGGGCTCGGCGACAACACCGCCAAACCGCCGGCCAAGCCCGGCTACTGCTACGACATCCACCTGACAGACGACCACCCGTGTGCGCCCTCCCCGCCGCAAATCTTCAGCTCCACCAACGCCGAGCTCTGGATCCACGGCTGGCCAGCCACGGCGCACGAACACCAAGACTACTTCGCGGAGTGGGAGCACCCGCCGCCAAAACACCACCAGCACCAGCAACCCCCGCAGCACCAGCCGCAGCAGCACCCAATACCCCTCGTAAAACCCCACGCCGGCCACGGCACCTCCCACACGGAGCTGACCAAGCTCTCCGGGCGGGAGTACGCGCTGCGGGCAGCCGACCCGTCCGACTTCGCGTCGGTGTGGGAGCACTCGATCCTGCCGCTGCTGAGCGGCCTGATCAAGGAGCACTGCACGGGGGATTTTGCCGTGGACGTGCACAACTTCCCCGAGCGGTCGGCCGAGGCGGTGCCGCGGGTGATCTACATCACGCTCCCCGCCGATATGGACACGGCGGCGCTGGAGCCGGCGGTGCGGGGGGAGCTGGCGCGGGCCGTGCCGGAGCGGTTTAACCCGGTGTATCTCAAGTTTCGGAAGGGGGATTTGCAGAGGTCGCAGTGGTGGTAAGTTTACTGACTTTGTCGTTCTCTTGTCTGCGGGAGGAGGACGGGACTGACAACTTCTCCTCAGGGGTCTAGCCGGAACGACGGATAGCGTGTGTGAACCCAAAAACGTCTCATACAGTCCAGAGCCCATCGTCGGCATGTCGATCGGTCCCGCTAAGGGGCTGGACGCGGCATCGCTAGGCGGTTTCGTAAGGGTCGGACAAAACCTCTACGCCATGAGCGCGCGCCACGTTTTCGAAGACGCCATGAGAGTGGGCCAGCTCCGTGTCAGCCATCCGGCCGACCCAGACTTGCAGCTGGTTGTGCCGCCGGACCCAACGGGTAGGCAGTACGGCATCGGGAGAGTGTCCATGTGCTCGCCGGCCGGGACGTACCGGTCTTCGCTGACGTTTCAGGGGATTCCCGTTCCGGAGGATCAGAAGAAGGTGGAGATGGACTGGTGCGTTCGATTCCCCTTGTCTCCCTTTCTCCCAACCCCCTTCCCTCCAGCTCTATTCCATTTCGAATCCCAGTAAAAGCTAGAGCGGGTCTCCCGAGGCAGCTGCCGCCGCCCAATCGAGCCAAAGTTGGTCCTCCGTGCCGAGGATGGGGCCCTGCTGCCGGAAGAGCTTGCGGTGTCGGCGATTTCACCATTCCCTATCGTCGAGCAATCATCCTAAAACGCTCGCCGAATGTGGTTTCGATGTCGGAAATGTCTTGCGCCGAAAGCAAAATCGCTGACTCTAGTCGGATAAGGTGTCTAATCGGACCTGTGTCGAAGGGGAAGAACGTAGTTCCTATCCCCAGCATGGAGATGAACGGGGGCGTTGCCGTGAAGAGTGTGGCTATGGTGAAGGGCAACACGGAGGTGTATGCCATGGCTCGGACGAGTGGCTATTCCCTCGGCTTCACCTCCGATGTTCCAGGCGTTCGGCGATACAAAGGGCAGGAGAGGAGGGACTGGACGGTCCGCCAGTACTCACCCTTCAAACTCCCCAAGGAGGGTCAGGCCAGCTCGCCGTGGCAAACCGTGAGGCAATGGGTAACGAGCGGCATTGGCGTTCCGGGCGATTCCGGGGCATGGCTGATTCAGCGGTCTGATGATGCTGTCGTGGGATTAATTTGGGGTCGCAATCACGACAGCGGGAACCCGTTCGAAAAGGTCCGGTTCGCCTACTTCACCCCTATTGTCGACATTCTAGCCGATGTGGAGCAGAACCATGCGGATGGGCAAGGGGTCTCTCTGCCGGTATACCGGGACCAGGGATTACCGCGGGACGGTCGATATCGCAACTCTCGCGCGCCAGTAACGGCGGACATGTCCCGCGACCCGTGGAACATCTTTACCACAAGGTCAATCCAAGAGCATCGCCAGGCCCAAGTCGACCTCATCGAGAGTCGGTTCGTCGGTACCAGCGTGCCCGCGATGGAAGCAACATTCGACCGACGGCCCTCGCCTCCAACCGAGCCCGCAACGGACAGCACACCGGGCCACGGTGTGGTAAAAGGCTCCGTCCTCACAGTTGATCCGCCAACACCTGCGCCTCGAAGCGAAAGGGGTGGCTCAATATCGACATCGCGTTCCCAAGAAAGATTGCTACTGGGATTGGGCGCGCATTCCGCACCCGACTTGTCTCTGCCGGAGCTCACGACCGGGTCCTCGATACATTCGGGCCCCAGCATAGGGAGTGATAAGCCTGATGCTGTGGCGGAGGGTAACGATGTTCAGGTGGTTGGGGAGCTCGACGCTGGCGAAGAGATCGCTGAGATCGAGGAGCCCATTCGCGCGAAGGCGTCGTTTGCCCCGAAGTTTCATCAAGTGTCACCGGGACGGGAGCGGATCCTGATGTAAGTTAGCTAGCGCATAGGTACCAATTGACGGTCGAGTCATCCTCCCAAGCTAGTCCGGCTAAGCGTTCGAAAGTCTGGCGTCATAACATCATGACACCGGAGTGAAGATGCGCAGACCAAGGTGAGATGGCCTACCTTTGGAGGATATGGCGCTGACCCCCAGTAGTTCGCCGAGTGCCCCAGGTCGAGATGGCTGCATGAAGTGACGCCTCCCCCCTCACACTCCCCCGCGTTCGCCAAGCTCACCGAGGAGTGTATCCATATCATCGGTCCGGCAACCGTCGGCTGACCAAATGGAGATTGAACATGTGCATTTTGAACTGGTCAGACTGGGTCGCCTTCAATAACACCCGCAAGGCTCGCTCGCCTGAATCCGATCCCGGTGCAACCGGTCTGCATGTAATGGTTGGTCAGCGGCTGGACCAGAGTCAGAAGTGCAGATTCGGGGAGATCAAGATGGGGTATCCGACGGCGAGGCTGAACTTGTGAGGGGCTGGTCGGGCTGATCGGGCTGAAGGCGACCGAGACCCGGTTCCCCGGGGCCTCAGGACGATCATGAATGGTTCGTCGTGGTCCCCAGAATTTTGGTTGAACGTCAATCGAGCGGGGCTAGCGGGGTATGAAACGAGGCACCCAAGCAAACGTCTCGGCTAAGTTCGGCCCGAATCGAGGGTTCCCGCTTTCTGGAAATCTGCAATGCAAGCTCTCCTCCATCCAAACAGGCTCCCAAACAAGGCGTCCACACCAATGTAATGTCGTCAAGCCGTGTCAAAAGTTCTTCCCTGCAGCCATGCAGGCAGGCGATTTTAGCATAATGTAACGCTGTAAGAAGCAATGTAACGCTGTAAGAAGCGGCTCTTCCTCACCGAGAAATACTCGTACGAACTCGAAGGTGAGACCTTGACACCGCTGCTTTCCGCCTTTTCCGATGCGACAGTAAGCGGGCGATGGCGTCCTGTTTAAAGGGCTGAGAGGGGTCTCTGTGTAAACTCGGGCGTATTATCGAACTCCGAAAGACTCGGAGCTGCCGGAGCTGCCGGCCAGCCAGCGGCTCGTTGGGGACAAGTGAGTGGCTCATGGTCACAAGGCATCCGCAGCATAGGATGAGCAATTCCGGGCAATTCTGCTGGCCATCAAGGCTCCTCAGGGTCTATGTATTTCTCGTCTCGTTACCCACCGAGATCCCGCACGACCCAAGATGGCGGAACACATTTGAGTATCATGCTGATTGGCCGGTTAACCACACAGCGAAAGGCAACCACAGCCAAGAAAGCACAGCCTGCACCGCTCGAAGGAATTAGCCAGTAAGATTGCCTCATCACACTCATCAATGCCTAAACCGCAACACAGTCAGCCGCAGGAGATGCTTTGAGAAGACCATGTATGAGTGGCGCGACTTATCGGTCACAAGTTTGGATAAAGCTGCGAGTATTAACCCCAACCCCTAACTCCGACCCTTGACGTTTCGATAGAAGCAAGGCATGGCAAATGACCGCCGCTCGTGTGACCATCAGCAGAAAGACATCCACCGAATGGACAAGAGGACGGCGTCGCCGGGAACCTCGGTGATGTTAACAACATGGCTTCTGCTGACTGTCGAGATGTAAGCCGACCGGGTCGGCGACCAGCCCAATTCGATGTTGCACGCCGAACACGGCGTATAAGTCATTCATACCTATTTGAGCAATCCAACCAATCGCAACTGCCATCAAAGGGGTTTTGTCCTCCAACCCCGCCACCGCCATGTCGATTCGGTGATAACTTTGGAGTCGTGACCTTGACTGCCTTCTTAACCACCACGGCTTCGGTGTCGCACGACTTCCTTCAACGCTCGACAACCACTAAACCAGTGTCAATCACGAGGCAACCAAAACACGTGCCGCAAAGGAACAGCGCCGCCTCGCTGCCTTTTCCAGGCGTCAGATCGAGTGGTTCGTGGGGGCGGGAATTAAACTCTAAATCCTTCAATAGCAGCCTTGCAATCCCACAAAACAAATACATGCCATGGCCTCAGCCTTCAGGTTATCAAACCTCACCGACTCCCGTCTGAGTTTCTCAAATCATCTTGACCGAACCGTCTTCTGCAAATTACCCTCACCGCTACGCGTGGGAGGTTGGCAGAGCCCCCATGGTAAAAAGTAGAAGAAACAAAAAAGCATTCAGCTCGTCCAGTGGGCGTTGATAACGTGAACACGTGCCGGCGGTGCGGCCCTCTCCCGCGCAATGCAGCGTGGGGGGCACCACTGCAACGAAACTCGAAAAGCATCGGATCTGATTGTTTCGTTCTCAGCTGGACGCCTTCAGATGCCTCTGCTTGAATGGGAAAAGGTACCTAGGCAGCGAGTGTTTCGGTATTGGATTTTGAGGGTCTGTGAATTGAAATCAGACACGTGTTGTTGGGGACGTGGATGGGTTTGAAAAAGGATGTGCTTGATACGGTAGAAAATATTACTCTGTAAACCTGAAGAAAGATTATATGTGTTAGCGGAGCTGTAAAAGAAAGGGATGGGTGAGTTCTAGTGTCACCTATCAGGTAGTAGCGTGCTACTTACTACTTCCTACTTACTTCGCTCGCTAGTTATCCTCCTACCAAGTTACAAGCTCTCTGCTATGCCAGGTAGAAAACAAGCAAGATGGCCAATCATAACCCTGATCTTGACGACTACCTACCTAGGTAGGCAAGTAGGTAGAGGTCAACAGAGACTATCAGCTCAAACGCATGCTGGAACTTATATGTTCTAATAATTGATAATAACAACGGCCAATGAGATGAATAAAAGCGACAACCGCCGCCAAGAGGATAGAAAGTAAAGGCCGCTGTTTATAAACTAAGTACAGGAAATAATTCAAGCGTCTCCAGAACCTGAGGTATTACATTACTTTAATAAGCCCAGCCCCCAAGATATGACTGCCAAGGAAGCATTGGGCAGTCATCAAACGCACGGTGTTAAGTTGCAAGAACAGTTCACGTTGTAATCACCCCACTGGGACGGAACGTCTATGTCCGCTCGATGCCCTTGCTTGGAGCGGCCTTGGCGTGCCGTGCTAAATAGGCATATGCAGTTACCTTGAAGCGAATGCATACTGCCGAGCCTGTAGCAACTGGATGACGCGTGCTGTCTCGATCTGTATGGACCTTTCTTGCCGTTAACTTCATGTGGGGTGACAGGTGGGATGCTTGGTGAAACTAACCATATTCTGGCCATCAACCGTCCAACAACCACAACTCTCCGTGTTGCTCAATAAGCAACCTAGCTTCTTGTTGTGGGCCAAGAAGAACCCGAATCAACTCAAAAGGGGCGAGAGATGATTGCGGGGCACTCCCTGACACGGAGGCCGTCGCGCGAACCCTCGGACTCACGCGACCGCCCCCGCGTCAGGGAGTTCCCCACAATCTACGCTCGCCCCGGGAGTAGCGGGCATCCCGCCGGGAATCTCCAGGTCCAGTTTGACGTCGTAGGTTGGGTTTACGCCAAATCTCATGGCCTCCTTGTCGAATTGCAGCCACTTTCCGCCTTCTTTCTCCGCGATGCGGCATCCCAGCCAAACAATCCGTTCCCGTCTCTCTCCCTGCATGCTGAGAACCTCGAAATACTTTTCATCGTCATCGATCTTCTCCTCTGTGACGAACCAACCATCGGGGAAGTATTTCTCTACCCAAGGAAAGCCTCGCATGGCGAAATCATCCGGCAGCGGCCTCTTCCGCCGCCCGGCGCCGGGAGAAGGACCAGCACCAGCACCGGCACGAACACCAACCCCAGAAACGCCGACGGCGTCGTCCTCCTCTTTCTTCACCTCACCGCCGTCCTCCTTCCCGACCTCGCTCCCAGGGAAGCGGCCCCCCTCGAGGAAGGAAGCCAGAGCCTGAGAGGACACGCTTGTCTCTGACGGCGAAGCCGCGGCGGAACCATTCAACAACGTATTCAGCATGAAAGCCGTGAGTTTCCAGGGGAAATGGGGCGCCACGTAGGCCATAGCGTCAGGGCAAAACGTAAGGTGGTGGACGAGCACCAGGGTGACGTGCAGGAAGGGAAGGACGTTGGGGTCGCCGAACCGGCGGCAGGCGATGTCGTAGGTGCCTGTAAGGAGGCGGAGCGCGTTGGGCAACTGCTTGACCGGGGCGGCGTGCTTGGCGGGGGTGGTGTTGGAGGAGGGGGTTTCTGAGGCGGAGGCATCTTGCATGGGCTGGTCTTGTGATTCGGTAGTATCCTTGGAATTAGTGCGAGAGAAGGAAAAGGCCTTGAGGGCTGCGGCGATCGGGTTGCTGTCGTCCCCATAGCCGGTCACGCTACAGATATTCGCAACGGCGATATGGTACCTGTTTGTACCATCGTCAGCGTTTGAGTGGGCGGTGCATTTTTTTATCACCACTTACCCAGGTTCGAGCCATCGGCGGGTGGAGCGGGCGATATCGTTATCGAGCGGCTGCAGAAACGCCTCCAAGGTGCTCTCCCAATCTTCGGGCTGCTTACCACTAAACAAGATGGCATGCAGCTTCACAAAGTTGCGCTCGGAAGGGGAGAGTCGGTTTTGCTGGGGGTTTCCGGTCCGGGACATGATGGGTTCCAACAGAGTCAGGATGCTCTCGCGCGCAGAGAGGAATGGCATTTCCACACATAGCGATTTCGCATAGTAATAGAGCTGCTGCAGGGCGTTGGGTCTGGCGAGGATGGCCAAGTGATGGTAGAGCCGGCCGGTTGTGGGGGCTTTGTCAGAGGCCTTAGAATACCAGTGTCGGCTCACGGCAGTCCAAACTTCGCGGTCCCGGATATCGTCATCCTCGATGGCCATCCGGTAGCGGCCGAGATCTCCCAGGCACTCGATCCACGTATCCTCAAAAGCAGGAACGGTCTCGTAGAGCAGGGCCATCATCGAGTAGGCCATGTAAATGAACGTAAGCATGTGATCCAAGCTCTCCGGAAGTCTGTGCCTCAGGAGTTCGAGGAAACTGTGAATGCCGTGCCTCCACATCCGGGCCGGCATGGCGTACTTGGCAGCCAACCTTCTTAATGCCGGGCTTGCCGAGGGGTGCTGAGACGCGAGAAAGAAGTCATGGTGTTCGTGAAGCAGGGTCCGGTGGAGGGCGATCAAGGCCTGCCATTGATCGTGGTTGAGTTTGTTGGCGGGGTCCGTTTGCGAGCTTTGATTATTGTCCACTTCGATGCACTTGCTCTCCACTAATACGAGGCCGGCGTAGATGCCCTTCACCTCGGCCACGAGCTGTTCTTGGGAGATGGGCCTCGTCTCGGGTTGCTTGATAATCTCTGTCACATCATCGTCCTCAGCGGGCGGGTGGGCCGGCCCCCGGGCTGGAAGGGCGTGAGATGAGCGGTGCTGCTTCGGGGCCGAGCCAGAGGAAGTGCGGTGGCGTTGATTGCTGGCAACATTGGACTTGTCATATGGGCGGCGGGAGGCGAGGGCGTCACCGTCGGTCCACAACTTCCCCTGATAGGCGCCCCTGGGGACGTCGGCCAGGTTGTCCTCTCCCGCCGGAAGAGCTGCGGCCCGAGCCTTGGACCGTTTCGGGGGCGACATGCTCCGAGACTTGGACCCTTCCCTCTTGATGCTCGGGGTGGGGCTCTTGGTTACACGGTCCCCGGAGCCTGCTACCGGGTGAGGCGCCGCCTTCTTGCGGGTAGCCATTGGCCTGTCGGCCGGCGGCTGGGCAGCCTCCCATTGAGCCTGTATGAACTCGGCTCTTTCTTCCTCGGTGGTATTTTCAGCAAGCAGTTCGGGGTGAGAATCCGAGTAATGTTTCGCGAACACAGCCTTGGCGCCATCCTGAGGGATTTCGTGGTTGCACGTCGGGCACCGAACCTTGAACTTCAATTTTGAGGCTTCCCGTCGTAGGTGCTCGTTCCAGCGTTTGTTGAATTCCATCTCATAAGCCAAAAATAAAATAAAAACGTAAAAGTGCCAGAAAACGGCAAAAGCTCATTCAGGAGCTCTGTTGAAGTGTTGGCTTCACAAAGTGCATTTCCACCAATGCAAACCCACGGGGTGGGTTTTGGGTTTGCGGTGCGGGGTCGATCGGGCCTCTGGGATGTGCTGGGAAGGAAGTACCGCAACGAGAGAGGCTGGAGAGGTGTTCATAGAGGGATGCTGCCGCAAGGTGATGTTGGTATATCAAGAGTTGACTCTCGAATGTACGATGAGGCTTTTAATGAAATTCGGTAGGGCTTTTTGCGCGAGGGTGCGCGGACAACCCAAGTGCGCTGGGCCTTTTGGTTTGGGCATGGGACGGAAGCGAACCCGAAAGCCAGTCGTCGCCTTGTCGCAGGCCGCGAACCACTGTGGGGCTCCAGAGCCTCATGTCACAGGGACCTGGCCAGTCCCCCATTCATAGGTAGGTAGGTACCTATCCTTCAGTCTTTGACTCATAATGCCCATTGCCCGTTTAAGCTGATGTCAAAAAGGTCGGTCATGAGTCTATTTAAATATTCACCGAGCCACCGGACTGCCCTGTTAGCTGATATTGATGAGGCTCTGCCCGGTCTTGCAGCCCATCGCGATCCCCACCGATCGGTGACCCCACATCCACGGCCCGGGGCAGAAAGATTCTTCCTTCTGGAAGACGGGACCTGGGTAACCAAAGGTCCTTGAACCCGTCTTCGGCTCGGCCATCGTCAGGCAGTCTAGACTGAACTGTTGTAATGATTGAATCCGCCTGTGATCATATTTCCCGTTTCACTGCCTCGCTCTCTCAGCTATCGCCCTGTTGCCCTGCGACTCCATCTGCGACGGGAGGCCTACCGCCTGGGGCCTGCCCGCTAAGAACATGAATACCCCAGAGAATAAGACGCAACACCCCTCATCACCCGCGTGGCCTCCAACAAGCCATGCGACATTTGGTCTTCGTCAATATCTTGCTGAGAAAATTCCATCTTTAGTTTTTCACTCCCGATTTTACCCTCATTCTGACCATTCACACTGCCGAACAGCCGGGTGGACAGCTCGCAAAGGGGGGTGTGGCTCAGCCGCACCTGTGGCGAGAATGTCGTAATTTTATATACGACCTTCCCCAGAGAACAGCAGGAGTGACCTTGAATTGCCCTCCTTTGCCCCCTTTGCTTTACCTCATCATCGTTAACGAGTTCTTTGCGTTTTCCATGCACCATACATTACCAATTACCTACCCATCGCCACTGACCCAGTGTCAAGAGGGAACTGAAAACTGAAAACTGAAAACTGAAAACTGGAAACTGGAATATTGCCACTGCCTTGAGGCCACCCGTTCATTTTTGACAGCTCTTGACGCCATCGTATCGCTGACTAGCTGAACAGCACCTCGTGTGGTTGGATATTGACGAATAACTGCCCAGCATCCGCTCGCCCCAACACACTCCTCCGCCGGGACCTCCCCAATGAACCCCAAGGATCCCGTGGCTTGATCGTTACTCAACGAGCTATCGGCCCGGAAATGGAGCGGGCGATTGATTGCCTTTTTTACGGGACGAATCTTTATTGTTCAATTGGTTGAAATGCTGAGGGCTGTGAAGCTCGTCAGGCCATTCCTCAGCCGATCGAGGCAACAGATGGACAGGGCTACAAAGCACCAAGGCGGTGTGGCTCGATCTCTGACTGGGAATGGGGCGTTGATCCAGCGGTGATGGAATATGTTCAATCTTGGAGCACATGGACGAGGCCAAGTCGTTAAGCCAAGCACCCTTGGGGCGACCACACGAGATGCTGGAGCCAGTCAATTCAATTCAAAGCTCCAGGCGTCGTGTTTTCAATAACGCCCTCGGATTTCCAATCGAGGCCATAGCGAGTCACGTCGAGGCGTATCAATGTACCTCGTGGCCTCTTCTAGTAGGTAGCCAGGCTTGACAAAAGAACAGAACAAGCAGCCCGAGACCCAACCACAGGAACACGTCGAAGCGGTAGTTAGGCCCATTGCAAAGATTGATGCCTAGATGTGGCAAGATAAACAGACCCTTTCGCTGTTTGATTTGTTACTCGGGTCGCAAACAAACCTTGAATGACTTGATATCGATGTTTGTTGGTTCGCAACCACCCTTACGTGGCACGCCATGCCCTGTTCACCTCCCAAATGCTGGAAGTTAGGTCGAGGGAGTACAAATCAGCACTTCTCATCCCTCTCAGTTTCCCAAGGGAACTTCGTCTATGCATGGTTGATGCGGCTCTGTTGGGAGGTCGGGCTGGACGGAACATTGCGTCTACCTTTTAGCCAATCATTCAGGTGCTCAGCCCAGCATCATTTGTTTGCGAGCGTTCTTGTTTGATATCGTGTCTTGAGCCAACACACATGTGCTCTTTTCCCAAGGCAACAGACTCAATTGAAATGATAACCGACGAGTCAGGGATATTCACCGCCCCGGATCACGGATGGGTAGCCACATGGCAAGTCGGCAGCGCACGCTCTACGGAGTAGCCTCACTTATCCTGATGCGGAAAAGGGTCGCCCCGGATCTGGTTTAACTGGCAAGTGGACTGTGCAGACAATTCCCCAAAGTTTGGTTGATCGGGAGTTTGGAACCGAGAAGGGCCACGGTGCCGGTATGCCGGCCAGACCTCCGCTCACCGCCGGCTCGTGCCCGCGGGTAGTTAATCCTTTCCTCCTTGAGCCTCATTCGACCTTCGCCAGCCAGCTGGCACCGTGACGCCTTTTCCACGAGAAGGCTCACGCTAAAAAGGTCGCCGAGTCTCGGCAGTTGTTTTTTCGGGCGGCTATCCGATGATTCCGACCCCTGCTCTGCCGATTGACGGGCATGCCGCTAGCTCGACTTCCATTCTTTCCATGTCCGTCCCGTCCTGCAATGATGCCCGACAGAATTATGCAGCGGTAAGGCGGCAGGACAAGGGGGCATGCTGCCCGGCCTCCCCCGCCGGGCATTAACCCCAGCCCACGTTAGGGGCACGGCGCTTAGGCATCCTTTAAAGCCTGTCCGTTCGCCTTGTAATGGGACGCAAGAATCACGCTAGGGAGGCTCGAGCACCTCGCAGGCTAGTATGATGACAACTGGCCCGAGGTGCCCGAGGTGAGACTCGGGCCCCGGCAGGCTGTTGAGGTTCAATTTGATCATTGTGGACTTAGTTTGGTCCGGATCTCGCTTGTGTAAACCCGCTTCTTGAATCATGTCCTCGGGCAACGTACCCACATCCATGACATGCATTATTGTCCTCCATGTATTCGTATGTTACATTGCTATAATCCGGTGGGGATGTGCGTACCCCTTCAAATTACCTAACACTGGGGAGCCCAATGTCATTCATACCTCTGGTCGCCTTGCGGGCATGCACACACATTGCCAGGTATGTTGCCATGGCCCCAATCAACCCCCCTCCCCGCCAACGCAAGGTGCGGTTGTCCGAGTGTATTCCGCCCCATGTCGTGCTTCCTTCTTTTTCTCGGCGGGTTCCAGGGAGTCAGCCAGCCTTCATTCACCTCACACACACATCAGCCGTGGGCCTTCAAAATCTGAACTCAAGCACCGACATTTTACGTTTCACGTAATAAATATTAGCTCCCTAGCCTACGTATACAAAATAAGTGATCAATCACATTTTTTGACGAAAATCGAGAACACAGGTTGCAGGTGCTTGAGTACAGGACGCCTTCGATTGTGGGACGCAGTGCGTTCTCGAACCTGCTTCAGACGGACAACTCTGCAGGCCAGAATGGTTGGGGTCGCTGGGGAGGTTTCCGATTCGACAAAGTCGATGCAACCGAGACAAGGCAACCGTTGCTTTACACTGGCACGAGAACTAACTAGCAATTGGCATTGGCAACTCCAAATGATCCAGGGCGAACCAAGTATGAAGTAAGGCCTTCCGTTGAAACTGAAATGCCAGTGGTCTCTCAAATGCTCCGATGAAGAACCAAAATCCAGCCAAATCGCACTTTCAAGGCGCAGATATTGGTAACTCGATGCAAACAACGACAGAAGCTCGCATTCCTCACCTCGATGACCTTTGACCATAGCTAGCCCGAACCCTAACGCTCATGGCTGGATTGTGGTTGTGCTGAAGGTACCTAGCGGGCAAGGCTGGGAGAAAAGCTCAAGGTGGTGCTTCGGTCTCGGCGAATCAACCGAAAGTGAAACAAACAGGCGGCCGGATGCAAATCTATCCCTTACCTTCCTTTCACCTTAGCCAACCAAGGTTCCCAGGTAGGGATATGCCGAGCATTAATCACAGTGCAACCCCGACTCCTATGCTCCGATACAAACCATCCAATCGAATGATCTGATGCCTTGGCAAAGAAGGCTGACGAGCTGAGGGGGCTTTGTAGCCACTGGCCGCGCACTCCTCATCCGCTGAATCCAGCTGGCCAGTCTCTCAAGTTGTTCAAGCCGCATCGTGAGACCACACCGAGGAGGGTGGGCTGTCGCCTCCCGGCCGGCCGGCAAAATGACCGTTTGCCTTCCGGTGCCTAAATCGCGAGGAATGGGGGAACCGCCTACCACAGAACGTGCCTCGTGGGAGTCAAGGCCCAACTACCTCGATACTTATGGAAGTGCGTAAGTGAGTGGGCGTCGTCAATGCTCAGAGGGGGCTGATGTTCGGGCCACGTTCCACTCGGGCGTGCGAGGCATGTATGTACATGCATATGTCCAGAGCATGGGCACCTTTCTCGGCTGCTTCCGCCGCAACACAAGGTGCCTGTTCCCGCGTCATACATGAAGAGACTGCGACTCATTTGGGGAGTCCCCGAAACCATTCCGCCCGGGGTCTGGTTAAGGGCAAATATCGGTGGCCGGCCAGGCAGCCGAACCCAACATCAGCCCTGCTAGATAGCCATGAACCTTTACGTCCCACCACCTCATGCAGCCTGCTCTGTAACCGCTGCGCCACCCTTGTTTCGGGCTGTTGGACCAAGCCCTCGGCTCGCACAGCGCAACCGTGAAACAGGCTCTATGTGGTTTAGATATGCAGCCCATGCCGGGCGTACGTATCTGTGGGTTACACAACAAATCGGTGAGCGGGAGCCGGGGCGGCGGGGTTTGTGATACGGCGAGACTAACGCGTCGATCTGCCGTGCCACAAGTCACACCATCTCAATTCGTCTGATGTTTGGGGCGCATGAACCCCACGTGCCACCTCCGAGGGGAGCCTGGTCTGTTACCCCGAAATAGATTCCCATGTGTGTGGGGCCCGGGGGGGGGGGGGGGTTGGGGGGCCTAGTGACTGTGTCTGGTGGTAGGCCTACCAGATTGCAGAAGTCATCTGAAGTTCGGGACCCGGAGAGGTGGGAGATATACCTACTTAGCGAATGACCCAACAGGGTGTTACGGCATGCGGGATGACGAGAGCATGCAAGTTCACCGAAACAGTTTCCGACGGCTGGCTGACTGCCTTCTTCCATATCTATAGGCATAAGGGCCCCAAATGGCCATCGACCACTCTACCATGATGACTTCTGCCTACCTTGCACGGTTGGAAGCGGTACAGTGTTGCATGAGGCTCTTTATGTGTGGAAAGAAGAACGAGGCGAATCAGGATAGGGAAACGGAGCGTTGGGGGTAATAAAGTCATGTCTGGACCTAAAGTGATTGTATATTGAGAAGCTCGAATGGCCCTTCAGCCTAGGCAACGCAAATCAAAAGCAAGGTGACTCGAGGCCAAGCGTAGTCCGAAAGCATATTTGCCCGCATGGGTGGTTACATCCCAGCACTCGAGTTGTGGGTCACACAGAAACCGAATTTGTGTCCGGTTGAACAAGAGACTATGAGGTAGTGATTGACCGCTAGGCAATAGTCGGCTTTTACCGGATTCCTCCTTCTCACTTTGGAAGCCCCCAAACTACACTGGCAGGTAGTAGAGGGGAGGAAGCTAAACCACAATACTAGAGAGTGTTACGAAAATTAAATTCAATGGAAGTTGACTTTTACGGCTTTTCTCATCATGGCACCATGTGAACGACGAATTCCCGGGGCATCCCCAACTACCTACTACCTATCTGAAGTTGTTCATCGTGGCTGAATCACCTCAAGTTCACTCACCTATCCACTTACCATCTTATCGCCTATGCTTCAGTACGTCGCAGATGAGCATATCCGATTGTAAATACCGCACCCAGTAGTAACCAACCTTGCCTTTCAAAGTTCCACTTCATCTTCAACAAGAGATCTCACTCAGGGGTTGATGTTTACCTTGTTCTTTCACCAGTTGCTAAGGCAACTTGAACTCCACCCTCGTGCTCCACCACACACCTCACTCACAACCATCAGTCAATCCCGGAACAACCAAGCGAGGAATGTATAGCCAAACGGCCTTTGGCTCAACTAGCCGGGGTCAATTCGGGTCTCAATCAGGAGTTTGGAGGTTCCAGGCTTCCGAGTTGCGGCATTATGAACTAGATGTTATAAGTCGTCCGAGGTTCACCCAGCGCCCTTGGATTTCAAAAGTCAAGGGCCGAGGAGTGTCCAATAAGCATGAGGCCACAGGCATGAGAGAGAAGAAAGAGAACGGGAAGCTGATGGCATAACAAGCCGAACAACAACCAGGTCCACCACGACGACGGGGGCAATCTGAGAAAGCCCGAAAGGATATACTCTACCACACGTCTTTATTACGGCAAATACGTTTTTTCATGACAAGGACCAACAACCAAGCAACCACGCAGCCTCAACCAACCACCGACCCTTACGCTCCTTCATCCATCCATCCATTCATTTCGGCATCATCACCAGCGTGTATCCAACCCCTCTGCTCCAACATCCCCCCCCCCCCCCCAAAAAAATTGTTTAT